GCCAAACCTTTTCAAAAGATTGAAGATAAAAAAAAGATTGAAGATAAGAAAAAAGGCAGGCTCCTAAGATGCCGTATGCCTTTGCTTTTTCTCCAACTGTGTTTTCAGGCATACATGTGTAACAAATTCCAAAGAATTATACAATGTAGGAAGTATTAATGCAAAGGCAAGAACAACAGGAACTTCCTGGAGCCTTTAAACTGGCATATAGGAAGCTCTTTTAAGCTTTTATCAGTGTCTAAAAGAGAGAGAGAGAGTGGAGGAGGAGGGAAGCAAACACGATCTATTGTTAATTACCTGTAAAGTAGGGCTTTAGCCACTTCCCCTATTCCTAAGAGTTTTGAAGTGAAACCTGAATGAAGCCACCCATTGTTTTCTATTGTGCAAAAGCCAGAAGCAAATAGGGTTCAGATTGCAGCTCTGAAAGGCAACAGGAAATTGGCACACAGCTAATCTGCCCTAACTATTCATAGTAACAAAAGGCTACATTCCTGCTCAAGCATTCCCCATTACAAATCCAATGCAGATCTGTTGGAAGGACCACCGAATAAATTTGTGGAAATAAAAGCTTTTTTATTTAAAAAGTTTCAGAAACATGTGCACCAGAAAGTAACATTAAGTATGTGTTACTATTCCCCAGCACCACGCTGTTTTAAAAAAATGTCGATCTGGGAAACAGACTTCGTACATAGTACATTAAAAATATTCTATCTCATCACTTACATTGCTCTCACGTAACCCAACGACCTCTGCTTATTTATTATCAATGGTTGAACATAGGTATAATGCTTCATGACAACCTTTAGGTGCACACAAGTAGAAGTGCAAGGAAAACTGTGTCTTGTTTTCTTAAGGAATTGTTTAGCAATGCTTATTATGGGACAGGTCAGAGAACTAATATACCAAGGTGTATTATTTTACTTTTAATGCAGAATGCCATCGTACATAATACTGAAAGCTAAAACATGGGATACATATTAGGCATTCAAATTATTCAGTGTCATGGTTTTTAAAGACTAGAAAATTCTGATGTTTGACATACTTATCCAGTTCACTGAATGGCTGCATTCATAGGGCATGCTAAACTTGATTAGCTCTTGTTTTGTGAGTGCAGTAACTGTAATTTCCAAAGTTTGATATATAATTTAATTCCCATAGCTATGCTTCCTTGGTATACCATCATAACTCAATGCTTCTGTTCCAGTGTTCTTTGACCCTGTTTTCACATGTAAATATATATAATAAAAATTATGGAATGAAAGTAAATTTTAAAATGTATTTAAAAGTTTATGTGGATATATACCATTTAAAACATGCCAATAATTTTTACCAGACACATAGAAGCCACGCTGCCATTCTAAGACTTTCATAGGCAGTGCATGTAGATTTAAATAAAAACTTCATTTTTGAAAATTGTAATGACCCACTTAAATATCTTGACAGCTGTAGGAAATGAGTAATAAACATGAATCAATGATTGCTAATTTAAAGTAAACAATATAGTCCCATCTTTGGAACGTCAGCTTTTGACTCAGTAATTAATCAAATTAATAGTAAAAATAATTTAGTTGGATAATACTGATCAGAATACTTCTGGCAGCAGTTTGATTTTTCAAGTCATCCCTGTAGCATGTTTACTTCCTCTGATTTAAGAATTGAATTCTTGATTGATTGTGATCAATATATTACAATATATTACTGATTTTAAGTGGAAAAGAAAGAATTGTAAGGTAAAATATAAATCATTGGCATCTTTTGAAAGCAGTATGACTATCAATATAAGTTCATTGTCTTCCAAGTCATTCATTCTGAGCCCAGGATCAATTTACATATTCCTAAATGGTATGTTGGGAATTTGCTAAAGCCAAGTTCTTGTTACCCTTCAGCTTATGATCAACACTTACATCAAACTAGTTTTGTCAATGTATTGGAAACTGTGCTAGCGTACTTAACCTCACACATCATCAGCATGTAAAATCAGATGTAAACCAGTCTGCCTATTTAACAAAATATATTTTCCAATTGCAACTTTTTCTTTAATTGCCAGGTTTAGATTTAAAAAAAAACCCAACAATATTATTGCAATTTTTAAAAAGATTGATTTCTCAGGAACCTGAAAACCATGCTTGAACAATGAATTAAAACAGGTTGAATGATGAATTAAAATGGGCCAAATCCAGTGAATTCCTTCTTCTAGGACCTATTTATTTTCAGATAACAGCATTTTTATATATGCATGTATTCCAGACTTAAAACTGAATAGTACGGATGCCATTAATCTTTACTTTTGACTTTGAATGAGTCTAAAAGCATTTTTAGTGTCTTCTAGCACAGGGGTCGCCAACCTTTTGGACCTCAGGGACCATCACTCATAATTTTAAATCCCGTGGACCATTAATATGAATTTTGACTGATGGTGGCTTGCTGACATTTTCCCAGGGTCTCTGCAGAAAGCAGCAGAGACCCTGAGAAAATCCCCCCAAAAGTCTGCAGGAAAATTCCCCACCCCATTTTCCTACCGATCGTTCTTTATTTGGGATTGCAGGATAATGTCTCCAGCTCCGTTCTCAGGGAGAGAGAGAGAGACTTTTGGCTTTATGCATGGAAAGCAGCAGAAGCAGCAGAATTTTTCTCTCCCCCAAACTCTGCCAGAAATGAGACTATGAGACTTGTTGCGCCAGCGCAGCCTCTTGGAGCAGGATGCCTTGCAGGGTCCCAAAGGCTCATTTCTGGTGGAGTTTGGAGGAAAGAAAGAAAGACTTTTGCTGCTTTCCTTGCGTGTAGCCAAAAGCAGAAGAAAGAAGCAGAAAGAAGCAGCCTGGTGGCCAGGCAAGGCGCATGGGAAGAGTGGGGCAAGTTCCCCCCTTTCCCCCCTCCCCTCACTACCTCGTGTTATTTGCAATGCAAGTGATGCAAGCCTCATGTTCCTGCGGGCCATGTGGGCAGCGCAGCCTTGTGTTGCCACGCAGCCTGGATTGCTTTGGGGGGCACATTTCTCTGCAGACCACCAAAATTTTCTCACGGACCACCAGTGGTCGTCGTCCCACTGGTTGGCGACCACTTTTCTAGCATATGCTTCTCATGGCGTGACAATTTAAAGTCTGTAGTATTGCACAACAATATCCAGATGGTAAATCACTAGTTGGGAAAAACTCCTAGCATCAGAACAAGATACAGTACATATTTATTTCATATATTTGATTTTATCCCAACTTTATAAGTAACTCAAGGTGATAAGCATACCTAATACTCCTTCCTTGTCCTAGTTTCCATCCAAAGGATTCCATCAACTGCATAAATCCTGACTACTTAAAAGGATCTACGTTTGTGACTTGGTATCTTTAACTCTGAAGGCACAACTGGAAGCTACAGAAATCTTTTTCTGACAGATAATAGATGACAATTAGCTTTCCTTTAAAATATAACTTCCTTGTACCTCAACCATCTGAAAATTCAGCCATATATTTTAGGTATTATATATCATATTCAATCTGTATTGTCCTCAGCAGTGATAATTCCAAGCTAAATGTACTTAATATCAAAAGATAAACAAGGAACCATGTGATTTGTACTTTGGGAGATTACCAGAAAAACAGGAATCTATCGACTGTATATCCTCCTCCCACATCCCACCTCCTTCCAACCAAGACAGAATAATAAACCTTATTCTATATTCAAGAAAACCATTCATCTTATTTATATGGCTACACATCTCAGAAAAAGTAACTTTAGACATACCCATCTAGTGTCCAGAGGTTCGGCTGTTTTAAAAGACCTTTGATTTACTGTAATCCCAGGCTTCTCAAATTATGAGTTAAGAATCTTTGGGAGGTTAAAAGCAACTTTAGAGGTGAGTAGATCTTTTTTTTAAAAAAAAAATCTTGATAGATGGGCAGACAAAGCAGAAACATATTCGAAACTAACTTTGGCTTTGCTCCTCTGCTGTCTATGCAAACATTCAGTTATGGCAATTCAATGTTTAAAAAGCCTGCGATTAAATGATTAAAAGTGGAGTATTTATTTCTTATCCAACCCTAACACATAGGAATTTATTATTTTATTTGGGAGAGGGTCACACAAACTCCTAGAATTTTAAATGGTTGTAGTGCTATAATGTTGACAGTGTCTGTTTTAATCACGTTGAAAAAAATCTATTTCAAATCCAAACTTTAATGTATATGAGCTTTATCGTTTAGAAGTTATATACTTGTCTACATATGTTTAGCTTGATATTTAATAGGGAACGTGTCATATGTTTACTTTTCCAGGCAAAGTAGACTGTGGTTTTGGAACTGGAAAGGGCATGCCATGTCCCAATACCACTAGCATACAATTTGATACTTTCCCAATTGTATGATTACATCACATCGTACATTGCAGATCATTTTAATGTTTCATGTACCTAGCTAGCATCAGTTCTTGAATCAGTAACTTCTCCCTGAAACAAATCAATACAAAATCAAAACAGACCCATTAATTTATGATGTATAACACCTTAAGCTAGCCTTAAGGCTAGTTTAAGACCAACTTTACAACAGTGAGATTACAGGAATAAAAAGCTGCATATATGGCAATTCTATCCATACTTAAAATACTTCCTAGATCAATACTTATGCAACTCCACTACAAGGCCAGGGCTTCTTTGTGGATTTCAAAGGGAAGAAAAAGGACAGGATTTTGTGTTAAATTCTATAAAGCAATGAAAGTAGCGAAACAACAGCTTATAGGAAATATCACCTTTCTCAGATACAACAGAGCAGGGCAATCATTAAAAATTCACTACATGTAGTCAGAGCACCTAGAACAACAGTCCCTTAGAAAAAAGTGTTTACTTCTGGAAAAAAAAAGCTACCAGAAAACTGGAAATAAGACTATGTTTATTAAATATTTTAATAAAACCAGGGCACAAAAGTTTATATGCAAAGATTGGAATATTCTACTATATTCAAAGAAAGTGCAAAGACTAGATAAACCAAAGATTTTGAAGTTGGTTTTTTTTCTCTTCACTCCTTCTTCTGCAAACAGAAACACATCCAGAGGAGTTCATCATGGATTGATCTTGACTTTGAGTTTGCCTTTGTTAAAGTGCTAGTGTGAGATATGAAGATAGAGGGAAATCAAATGATAAAATGTCAGTACTCAATAAACTGACTTTTCCTTTTACAAAAGGGAAGGCTTTAGATGTTGAGTGATTAACATACAGTGAGTGTTTTTCCATAAATGTTTTTAATAATTCAATGAAAAGAAAAACACTGCATGAGCCTATTTTGCTTCTATCACAAGAGCTGAACTTACTCAGATCTTCAACATGAAGAGAGCATGATCAACAATGTAGTTATTGACACAAACCAAAAAGGAACTATTGTGCAGAAACGTATTTCCATGAAAAATGCACAGTAATGAAGACAGTTTATATAAACATGTCAGGTATCACTACTCCCAGATACAAGTGAATGCTATGTCCTTATGCATAGTTGTGACAAAGGGTTCAAGAATACCACTAAGAGAGAAATGGTTACACTAATTCTTATTAAATCTTTTATGTAATCATTAGGAAGCTAGAAGAGAACCATAATGAGCCAAGTTAAAAACTAGATTCACCTGAAAGCTTCAAAGCTCACTATAGTATTGCCTTTTTATTATTTAGAAGTTTTAAAATAAATGTGTTTTATTAAGCTGGTTGAATTATACCGCACATAGTGTAGTTAAACAACACACAAGATTTCTAAATATGGACATGCATGCTTGGTTATTTTAGAGAAAGCAAGCACTTTCACTATGGGTAATGCTATTTTTAAAATGCCTTGTAAGGAGCTTAGATGCAAGATAATCAGTGTGGAGAACATCAGCTAACAGGTTCAATGGTATCAATTCAATTACATATATTTTATTAATATAGTAGGCACCAAATAGGTCCACAAGAATCATTATTCTGAATTCTGGAAACAGAATTAATCTTTTGAAGAAAAACCATGAACATAATATGAAAAATGAGGTGTTTAGGAATTCTCATTTTTCTTTCGCAAACTTTAATGTTTGGTATCTCATTTTCACACCTTAGAAAAAGTATCTTCTTAAAAACAAAAAATAATGAAAATCAATGTATAGTCTATGAAAAAACTCTATAGTTGCACAAATATAGCTTGGGGTGTGAATGTTTTCAAATGAGCAAGATACACCAATGCTGAAAAACACTTCAGAGCAAAAATCCAATTATTATTATTATTATTATTATTATTTTTAAAAAGTGATTTCAGAGTCATGAAAACTTCAGAAAAGAAATAAGTGGCAGTGGTCTAACAGTGTAATTCTATACAAGCCTATTCAAAAGTGAAGTCCCACTGAGTACAGTGGCTTATCTCCAAGAAAAGTGGTAAAGGACTGTATAGTCTTTCTTCTAATACTGCTAAGAACAACAGTTTTACTAACAAATAAAGAACCCAAGACATTTTAATTAATTATTATATTTTCTGCATTATAGTTTAACATACATACTTTCCTTGTGTCACCCTTATTTTCATTAAATGATGATATTTTGTAATATTCAGACAGGAATACATTTTTGGAACAGTTATTTTTATAATAAATATCATAAAATAATAGAGATTTACATAATAAATATTCTTTACAATAAAAAAGTTTTAACAGACCTTTGTCTTAAAAATAGTCAGAATTCAACTTTGTGATTTTACATAAAATATACAAAAAGCACCACAATATGTGGCTAAGGCAACAAAAGGAGGAAAGTTACTGAGCTGAGGATGAGTTAAAATTTTAAACCACAGAAATAGAAGTGTTAAGAAATCAAAGACTTATACAACTTAAATTGTATTATATGAAGAGCGAACTATATATCTGAAAACAATAGAAGCTTATGAAGAAACCAGTAATGGGAGCAATGAAGGTAAATATTTAAAATCTGGATTGACAAAATAGTGGGCAAGGAACAAGCAAAATGCAAGTGGTTAATTTTAAAAAATGGGAGGGGGGGGGAGACTAGGTTTGCTAAATTTCAACCCATATTTTCCTTTTGTTTTCTCTTTGTTTAAGGGAAATAACTGAATTGTGCAGCCTTTTTAAAAAAGGGGAATGGAAAGAGTTGAAAAAAAAAAACCACTTGAAAGCCATTAAAGTTAGTTAAAAAGAGAACAGAACAAAACAGCATCTTTGGAAAGTTATTTGCAGAATAAAGGACTTCAGAAAACCCAGTACCCTCACTATTTCTTTCAGGAGTCTATTACTCAGAATCCTGAGATGACTTTCCAAGATGAAAAAAGATACCAGCTTATGAGCCACACTTACCAAAGACCAATGCATTCAGATTTGCCCTTCATTGAGATAAGCTATAGAAGTGAGAGAAGATCTTGGGCATGAAAGAAAAAAAGGAGCATGGACACAGAAAAGTCAGCCACAATCTGAAAGATGGTGTCTGAGGAACTGAATCTTTCCCTCCAGAAATCAGGAGGGCTTGCCTTGACCCCTTGATGGACAACTTTCCAGCTTACAATAAACTGTATTGGAGTTTTTGCATCGGCATCCTGGACGATTCATCCAATCATAACACCCGCGGCACAGTTTTAGGCATCCTTTTGCAGGAGGGTAACAGAGCAGGCACGGAAGAAACAAAGCCATGGCCCCCATGCATAGGTACCGGGACCAGAAATGTGACTGGGAACATGAGCATGGATTATCCGCATATGAGTCCCCTTCATCATCATTGGAACAGTGGTAGAAGATTCCTTTGACCAGACACATACAGGTGCTATATTCTACCATGCTTTCTGCTGAGCACAAGCATTGTCTGTTGCAGGCCAAACAAGAAGGCAAGGCCCTGGGTGCTGTGCATTCTCCACATTTGCATTTCCCGCACTGTTCACATATGAACTTATGTTGAGTAGAATCCTCTTTCAAAGGACTCTTCAAGTCATCTACAATCAAAGATGACGGTTTGGGTTGCGTCCTGATTGGCCTTTCAAATCTCTGACTTGGGCCCAGCCTTGATGGTGGTGATCTTAATAAAAGGCCCTGCTCTGAAGAAGCACTGCTGTTGCTTCCAGAACTAGCTGCACTTCCAGTGCTTGTAGATCTGCTCAAAACAGGAATCCTTGAGTTGTGTTGATGTAGCACATGTCCAAGATGGCTGGGTCTGGGCTCATAATTATTATTCACATTTATTGGTAAGATTTCATGAGTCCTTTCATGTTTTTCTTGTCTTGGAGCTGTCCGGGGAGCAGACTTTTTCACCACAGAAGGACCTTCAGTGTATTCATTGCTGCCCCTGAGAGTCTTGATCTGGTCCAGTGACAAGATGGCAGTTGGCTGAATATCTCTTTCATAGTCCAACCTTTGCTGGTTGTCCAGGAAAAGCTGCTGATGGACAACTAACGAACTGCTGTTTCCATGCTGACCTGTGGACTCCATCGGTAGTGGTCTCTATTTCTGGCATTCACCAGGAACTGGGCATGCATCTGAAATCCTAAAAGAAAGGGAAAAAATTGGAAAGAGGATAAGTTCCCAGAAGTTTTGAGGAAAAGAAATGAAACATTTTACAACAAGCCACAATGTTGCCCCAATAGGATTAACAGAGACACACCAAAGGGTATAACAATTTAAATGACATAAACAAAATATATTGAAAGTCTTCTTGTGGTTAAAAAACAAGCATTTTGCTTTTTAGTAAATTGTAATGTGATTTCCTTAAGTATATTATAACACCATACATAATATATATATATATATATAGTATAAAAGTATAAAAGTAAATTCTTTACCGGCTTACATGCTATAATTACTTCTGCTCCATGCCACCAATTATCAGCATAAAACATGCAAAGCCACACCAAGTTTCAGAGCATATGATGGAACACTGATAGAAGACATTCAAATTTTAAACAAAAGGAGATGTGAAAATTCTTAATTGGATTTTTGGTAGTCTGTTTTACTTGTCAAAGCTGCATTCTATTTTAAACATCGTCAGCATAGCAGTATTTTTAGTTGTAGATGCCTCAAGCCAAATACCAATGGGAAGAATATGTGAATCATTTCTGGGTAGTCTGCATTTATATAATGTATATACATACATACATTCAATATCTAGTGCTTGTTAGAGCAAAACATCAGATGTAAACACATCCTGTTACACAACATCTTTCCAAGTGCCCATGCACCTAATGCAGGGTGTGAAAGGGGTGTGAAAGGAGGCAGAGGAAGGAAAGGATATCAGGAGAAGAGATAGGCAGATAACCCGTTGTATTTATCAGATCTTTGAAAATGTACGTGCAGTTCTTTGGGTAAATAAGTCGCTAGGGGGGAAAAAAGGACCTGTGCACGATATGTGAAGAAAAAAGTATACAGTAGACAAGACTCAAAACATTCCTTTTAATATTAACTAAAAGGAAGGTGAAAGGGAAACTTGAATCTATACTGCTTTCTTGAGACCAATGTGACAATAATTAACACAGGTTTTTATGGAAAGTGCTCTATATAAAGAAAGACAATTTCTGACAATGACAATTTTGAATGGGATACAGCCCATGATTTGGAACAATATCTCCATAATTTCTCACCTGAGTTAATAAACGTAAAATGTGATAATGTTGCACAGCACTTGACCAATATGGCCAAAATTTCACATAAATTTTCAGTGTGCAAAGATTTTTCATCAAACCTCAATAGGAAAAAGCTGAAAGTCAACTAGTTTACAGCTGAGAAAAAAATGGAACTAAACATAGCAAGTCACATATTTTGCTTTTTAACATAGACTACGTTATTTTTAAAATTTTATTTAAGTTGTATGCATCTTATACATCATGTTGTGAGGTGCTTTGAAAGGCCAAACCGAAGTCAGAAATTGGATTACAGCATTTGAAACTGTGGTAGTATAATTATAAATGGAAGCTTACCATTTAGTAATTATACAAATTAAGTAACTGATTTCCAGCAAAAGAAAATGCTCCCCTATTCTCCGCATACTTACGGAAACATATTGTTATACACACACAAACACACACACACACCAAAGGTCAAAATATAATCCACACAATAACCTTTCCATAAAGTTCTAGAAACTATCCCCAAAATGCTACTGGGATAAAAGAGAAGTCTGGAAATTAAATATTTTTTTCTACAGTTGTGGCTTTCAAAATTCTAAGTATGTACAAGAAGCAGCAAGATGGAATGAAATTATTTTGTTCTTTCTTTAAAAAGTGGAGCTTATTTGGAAGTAACTTGTTTGTACCAGAGTATTTATTTTGTAAAACATTTTGGATGCTATAGTCTGATTAGGTCTAAAAAACAGACAACTGCTTCTATTAGACAGTAAGTGTACAATTGATTCCAAAAATCAGGTTGTTTTTTTCTTTTATAGACTATAGACTTTTATAGTAAGACTATAGTTTTATAGTCTTAATGAATCCAAATCTTAATGATTCCCTTACTTTGTGGAACAAAGCCTAACATGTTTCTTGATTTAGTTCACTACTATCTAGTTCAAAATGGTAGGAAGGTGAACAAGCTTATAAAAATCTGCTTTGCGTGGACTTGAGAGAAACAGAGAGCAGGCTGGTGAAGCAGTGGTTGGTTGCACTGCCCACATGCAATCTGAGCTCAGAGGCAGCAATGAATGCAGAGCTGGGATGGAAGAAGAAAAAGTTATGAATGAAAACAAGGGATTTTTTTCACCCCCATTTGCAGAGGAGGAGGGGAATCGGCTAAGGTTACTATTACCTCAGGGGGGCGGACTTTCCAATGCTTAAAGCTGCACTGCCTCCCCTACCTTTCAAGGCAAATATGGAAGATTTGTATGTGCTAGTTTGAGCATGCAGGGATTCCCCCCTCCCTTTTCCCTTCAATGATTTCTAAGAAGGTGGGGGAGGGCGGGGAAGCCTGTTTATCTCTGCCTGAAACACCATTTCCTTCTTGTAGCCTCCATGCCTCTTCAGTGACCCACTAGAATCTCACCCACACTGCAAGGGAAAATCCCTTCACTATTGACTACACATACTTCGTGCGCACACATACACACACGACATATTTTAAAGATCTTAGGGAAAAAACTGTTGGGGATTATTTAGTAAACCATTTGAAGCAAAAACTTGACCCTGCTCTTAAACATAAAATCCACGGAATTAGTAGGGATTATTATGACATCCACCTGTCTTCCACACTTTCTCCACTTCCACAAAATTGCATGTAGCAAAGTAGAGCTCTAATTCCTGTGATTAAAAAATAATAATCCAATCACTTAAAAAAATTCTTTTACTCCTGCAGTATGTGGCCAACACAGTTGCACAATTGTATGCTCCTTTCTCTGAACCATCTCTCTTACTCTTGAGAATAAACAAGGGAACTCTGACAGGGCTGGGCAGAACAATTTCCAGAAACATATGTGCAAGCATGCAATACAACAGTAGTAGTAAAAAGTAAGACCCAACCTGGTCACTTATTTCGGCATCATCTTGTCTGGGAAAAACAATCCAAAATGATTTCCTTCCAGTGTCACCTGTGCCAAATGCTATCAAAGGACTACATCAGAAACAGGCTTAAAGAGGAGGCATTGGCACCAAACACCTCTAACGGTCGAAAAAGAGCCTATTTCTCCACCGAAGCAGTTGGCAGCAAAGGTCGGCAGGTCTTAACCCTTCGATCCAGCCGCCCCACTTTCCTCACAACAACATGCACGCCTATATGCTTTATCCGAAGCCACAAGTTCAGAGCCCAGCAAATCTGGGCTAGAAGACAAGCGAAGCCGCCACTTTTTAAGCCAAGGAAATCTATCCAAACGAAACTCCAGCGACCGCAGCGCCACCCTCAGTTCCCCCCCCCCTCCTCTTCAAGCTGGGGCCACAGAAAACTCCGCTATTGGGAAGGGGAAATGCCAGGGCACCTGCTGAATACTTGAGCGCCACACGTGCAAAAAAAGGCAGCGAGAATCCATTTTGCAAGCCAAGTTAGGACAAGAAAGGGGGACGGGCACAAACTTACGTTTTTGAATGGCAAATCCGCATGAAGGCACCTCCCTGCTAAGATAGATCCGTAAGGCAACAACGTGCGAGAAGTCTTAAAGCGCAGGAAAACTCATTCCAGAGGGCGAAACCTTCTCGGCTCCCCCGAACCTTTGCTCTCCGGCAGTCGTCGGATTCGAGAGGCCAAGTTTGTTTCCCTTCGCCTTGTCTCGACCCGCGCCGAGCGGTCGCAAAATCCTGGTCCTCGAACGAAAGGCACCCCAACTCGTTCGTCTCCCCAAACAGCTCGCCTTCTGAACACCAACATTCAAAGGGGTGTCTGCTTACACTGAGCGCCCCTGCCCTGCCAACCAGTTACTCGGGCAATTTTCTCCGAAGTGCAAATCCCAACGAGGTTTCTTCGGTAGTCGGTAGGAGAAGAGGCCGAACTGGTTTCGCAAATTCGAGCTATTACTGCTTTTCCATCACACGCCGCATCCACAGCAGCCCGAGAGAGGGTCGCTCCTAAGCGGCGAACGGCTTCGGAAGGGGGTTGAGGGAGGAAAAAAAAAAAAATCCCAGAAAGGAGTAGCCGCCTTTTCGCGAAGCAAGCTTGCTGAGGCACGCTCGATTCACCCTCCTGCCTTCCGCCAAGTTGGAGCTTTTTCTTTTTTCTTTTCCCCCTTTGGAGGCGCAGATTTTTCCCCTCCCAGTCAGGCGCGCGTGTAGCAGCAGATAAGTCCAACCACTTCCTCGACTCTAACCTTCTTTTCACCACATGGTCCTTGGCCCGCAGCTTTCCGCTCCAACCTTAAGCGAGGCAAAGTGCAAGGGAAATGCCTGGGGGAGGGGAGGAAATCCAACATCAATAAAAAAATGCAACCAGGAGGCGCAAGACATCCTCGCGGGCATAACAGAAGAGGGCAAGAAGCAAAGCTACCATGTGCTTCTTGGCGCTGCTTGGTTGACAGGCTGATTGCAGCACCCATTTCAGTGGGGAGGGGGGGGGAGGAGTAGTCCTAGCCGAGAGTCACATCAGCTCTTCCCTCACGCGCACATACACACGTACGCACATAATTGATGTTTGAGTTGAACACCCGTGTAACCCGAAAAGGTACAAAGGTTCCAAAAGGATTTCGCGGAGGGAGGACAAATGGCGAGCTTTTTTTTCTTTTCTTTTTTGAGGGGGGGGGGGGATTTGTTAAATCGCCCCCCAAAGAGTCCTCGGGTCTACATTTGAAACAACTTAGCTGCTTTACTTATTAAGGGCGTTGCAGATCGTTAAACCATCAAAAACTCACGAATGCCAATACTGGTATCAAGGTATTTTAAACGGCCGGCAGCGTTTAAGCCAGAAGTTGATTGCACCCGCCTACAGACACGCGCGTTTAATGACTCTCTCTCACCCACTCACTCACTCACTTACACATAGAAACACACAGCACCTGAGCTACTTCCGAAAGCCTTGCAAAAACCTTCAGATCATGATTACCGAATGCAAAGGTTAGGAGCCGTTCCCTTAAATTAAATCCCACGGGAACAGAATTAAATCCAAGACGCCTGCTCGGAGAAAGTTGCTTGACTTTGCAGGCTCCTTTGTGCGCGAGCGTAGCTGTTTCAGAATGAGCTAAACTCCCCACAGCAGCATTTCAGCAGAGCCCCCACCTCAACCTTCCCTCACGCCTCCAGTGATGTCAATCTGTCACTCAGAGAGCGACCAGAAAAACCCGGCATGGAGTTTCTTCCCCGCAGCTACACTGTTTCATCTTACTCATTCATGTCTCGGAGCTTTCCAGTTATTATGATTGTTTACCAACCTTCTTCATGTTTTCACCTTCACGTCACGAAAAATAATACGAGAAATGATGTTGCCTTGCCTTGGATTATTTGTATTATGAGTAATAATCCGGAACAGAATTTTTTTTAAATACCTCTCTGAGAATATAATCTTTATGACTATTTTTTAATGCTTGTAATGACTTTGTGTATTCCTAGACATACAATTGCGGTTGTACTAAATTCATTCAATGAGTTCATAAAGGACATCTTCACCAATATAATTATATGCATATATACAGGAGTAAAATTTGTAGTGCTGCATAATTTTGCAATCTTAATTCTGATACACAGGTCTAGTAGTCATTTTTAATAAATCTGGAATAAAATAATATTTAATGCTATATTTGTAGTATTTGCTGGTAATCTGTATTTGTAGATTATACATGTTTCTTTTTCAAAGGATTTATGTACACATTTGTTGCATTTATTGTTATATATAATTCAAAATAGGTGTTTTATAAAGTAGAATCCCCAATTAAATTTTATTAAGCTATTACTGATTTTATCATTGTATGGCACCCTTAAAATCTAATCTGTCAACCAGTTTCCCCCCAAATTCATGTGCTAAACAAACAAGTTTCTGTGAGGGCTCTTCTGAATGAGATTGCTTTGCATTTATTTATATAGCTTGTAATAACAATTCTCGAAATAGTCTAGGAAAAAAAGAGCTAAAAGAAATTAAAAAGGGACAATATATCAAAACAGCATAAATAATAAAGTCTGTAAAAGTTTTAAAAAGTAACATACAAAAGGTTTGCAAAACATAATAAAAAGTTTGAAAATTCATGTCTGGGGAGGACACATTGTTAGCATCATGATCTAAAGTTAAACATCCTCTTTCAGCTCCCCATTTGTGTGGCCAAGTATGAAATTTTAGCAAGGCAATGGCAGAAGGATATCTGCATGAGTACCCTTACAAACTTCTCTTCCTCATCTTATAGCAAGAACAACTTAACCATGTTCAAGTACGCCATGTCCAGCTACTGTTGATCATTTTGCAAGGCTCTTTTGCTGAACATAATAGATGATATTTGGTCTATCACCAGTCCTCATGCTAAAGAATTTTTTCTTTTCTCTCTTTCCTCTCTCCAGGTAAAGAAAAGAAACATTTTTTTTCTGAAAGTTTGTAATCAGATTATCCAAAGTCTGAGTGAAAATTTGGTTCTGAATTATTTTGAATTATTGTATTTCAGCTTTCTGTAAATAGCTAAAGATGGAGCTTTTTTCAGGCTGTTTGGGTATTGATGCCAGGTTTTGGGGGGAATCATATCTAATCCATTTGTTATTTGTGATTGTGTGGCCTTTATGTGATCTCCTGAAAGTTTACTTATGATTGTAACAGGATATAAACTTGATTAGTAAATAATTGACAAATCATTCAAAATTCAGCTTAATGTAAAACATGCTACAGTACAAAATCGTATATAAAATGCTACTGTTAAGTATATATAGTGGTGATGTGGCATGATTATATAAGTTATACCAAGTTTCTTTCACCATATGTTGTTGTTAGAAAATTAAAGAAAAATAATAGCAATCACAACCTTGAGAACATTTCTTTGAACATCTCAAAAGTGCTTTCATTTTTAAGCACACGTTTTCAAGAAATTTAGATTATCAGTCTGTCATTTTAAGATGCATTGTGTCATCCTGAATTGCAAAAATTGGTGAACGTAGTTGAGGACTGCCAATTTTAATGTACTTTGGTATATTGTGTAAATGATTAAAATAGCTGCCTCTGTTAATTACATTGATAAAAGTACAAAGAGAATCTATTAAAATCGATAAATAGAACATTGCTTTTAAAACAGCTGTAGCCAAAAATTTGTTCCTGAAGTAGAAACCACTTCTTGAATATAAGGAATATGATTTAAAAAGTAGAATTAACACTAATGCATTCCTCTTATATTCTCAAATTGTCCATTTACTTTTAAAGAACTGGATCTAAATCTTGCTTAAGAAGAACAAAATATAGAAGACATCTTTGATGATGTGGACAATACCAGATGAGTAAAACCTGAAATATATTTCTAGTTCATTCAAACCATCCATTTACTGTATGAATGCAGTAGTGAACTTGATTCAATGGAAAAGCCATAGTGGCACAGAGGTTAGAATGCAGTATCGCAGGCTAATTCTGATGACTGCCAGCAGTTTGTCCCTGACCAGCTCAAAGTTGAATCAGCCTTCCATCCTTCGGAGGCTGGTAAAAATGAAGACACATATTGAAGACACAATATGCTGACTCTGTAAACCGCTTAGGGCTGTAAAGCACTATGAAGCTGTATATAAGTCTAAGTGCTATTGCTATTGTTATTTATTTATATGAATTTAGGTGGCAGCCATCAGGTGAATAACAAAAATTAGAATACAATATAAATGCAATATATACTTTTAAAAAACACATAAATTAACACAAAGTTGGTCTCAAACTCACCGTTCACCAATAGTTTTAAATAGAAATTATGGCAATAAGAGTCCTTCAAATTCCTGGGCCTTATGCCATGTAGGGGTTAATAGGTTGAATTGCACCAAGAAACATCCTAGAAGCCAGTATAGCTTAGAGTCTTAGATCAAAAGTGTAATATAGGCAAAGCAAGACATTCCCATAATTGCCTGTATCTCTGCATTCTGGCCCAATTGAAGTTTCTAGAAGTTATTCTAGAATGCCCATGTAGAATACATTAAAATAATATACTTGAGAAGTCACCAAAAAATGAGAGTCCATGTACAGTGCTTCCTGATCTAGGATAAAAGGGAGCTTGTACACAATAGAAATGCTGGTATCTGCTCTTTGAGCAAGAGAATCTCCAAATTATGTAGCTGTTCTGACTGTAGTGTAGCCCCATTCACTACTAAAACTAGAAAATTAGCAGATCCAGGAGGCCCAAAAACAAAACTACTGTATTTTGCTAGAGTTAACCCAAAGCCTGTTCATCTCAATCCAGATCCTCACTGCTTCCAAACACTAAGACCAAATCTGTACAGATCACTTGGCCAACAAGGGCCATATATGTACAGCTTAATACACAGGCACAATCCAATCCAAGGTTCCATTAATTCTCTCATTCCAAGCAGCAACTAAGGCTTTAGCCCAAGTGCACACCAAATGTTTGGGAAAAACTCCAACTTTCCCCAAGCACTTGGAGCAGACTGTGGAATAGCTCCCACCATCTGCAGCAGAGAGCAATCCTAGAGTGCTCTAAAATACTTGGTAAGTGATCTAATCATAACAGTAAAGTGAGGGAGTCCTATTCCTCAACTTAAAATCATATTGCTTCTGCCCCAATAAAAGACCAGGTTTAATATGTGGTCACTGCTATGTGTCATGCTCTTGATTATCAGTATCGGGCCTACTTGGCCATGAGTTCCCAAGCTGCTTGACTCTGTCTTAAGTCCCCTAAGATCATAAGTCTGGGAAAATCCCATGGCTACCTTGGCCACAGAATATAGGAGTTTAGGCAGGAAGGTTGCTATGCAGCAGGGTAATTGGTGCAGAAGCAACAAACTCTTCTAATTTCTAAAGCACAACTTAACAAACAGGAAGTTACACCCAGCTAACTGGGACAGTATTTCTAAATGCTACCAGAATCCTGAATGATCAGAGTAACTCCACCACCCCTGTCCCAGGATCTCAGCTAGTGCTACACCCAAAAACCAGGCAGGCACATCTTTGAGACAGCACTACTACCTTGTACCTACCCAGGCCCCAATAATCCATGTTAACCCTGCCCTCTTATCCATAACCATAGATGAGGGAGGCATTACTGGTAAACCTGGCATTCAACAGCAGCAGAGAGAAGCCTGGGCCTTCAAACATCAGTGACCAGGGTATAAGGCACAAGCACCAAAGGCCAGAAGACCAAGTGTACCCATACTTCTTTCTATCCATCTATCTAGCCACTGAGTCACAGCAGCATCAACTGTACCTCATCATCTTCCCGTATACTTCTTTCTATCCATCTATCCAGCCATTGATATTCCTTTTTGTCCTCCATCCCCTTCATTCACTATTACTTCAACCCTGCTTAGCCTTCTCCAGGATTGGCGAGTCCTTAGGCCATTGCACTGATTCTGTTTGTAGCACTCAGCAGATCCTATTCACCCAGTTGCCTTCCCCGCTGCAACTTCCATTCATACACTCACACCTATCCAATTCCTCCTGTTCTCACCAAACCACAACTGCTAGGAAACCACATCTCCCAAATCAGAGACAGATCAGAGACAGTTGCTTTACCTTATTCTCACTGAAGTCCAAGTAATGCACCAAATAAGCCCATTCTCTTCATTCAGTCTTATGCCATCCAGCCAAGAGCCTGCCAATTCAAAGTCTTCTGGGAGAGATGGAAAATCCCTCTAGCCAGGCAGCCATCCAAGGACAACAGAAAACACTTCTGGTCACCAAAGTTTTATTATGGAGACGAATAGGCAAGATAAGGCACTTATTTTATACTTTATTAAAACTCTTTTTGTCTCCCTCACTTAGCAGAAATTACAAAAGCTGCTGGGATAATAAAATGGTTGACATTTTAGATTGGAATGACATTTCTACACCATAAAGCTATTTATTATTTCTTAAATATCAAATCAATTTATTGTTGGTTAAGTGTCAGCCCAAAGGTCTTAGCAAGACTACCATGTAAAAACTACCCTTTTCAGAAGAAAATAATGTTATCAAAGTATTTAGACTTGTTGGGCTATGGGCTAATGCAAACTTTAATATTGCAACTTTTTGTATATTAAAAACTAACTACTGCTTTGTAGTAAAGAATGGGTAGGTTACATGTTAGAAAATAGGATGTAAGTAGGATATGTTAAATATCCTTTGGTTTCTGATTAGACATTCTCCTGAATACCCTTCGTTCCCTTTTCTTTGCTATTTTTCTGTATGCTTCTGTTCTAGATGATTATTTTCTCCGCTGTTTATCATAATTGCATAAAAATCATTGCTACTAAGTCAGCAATTGCATTGTCTCCCAGTTTTCTCTGGGAAAAGAGGAGAGGAGGGGGAAGAAATCTAACAAAGCATTCTGTGGTCAATTGTGTTATCAAGGCACTTGGCACTACCAGCTGATTCTGGCTTACTATTAATCTTTCAGGCAAATAAAACACTCCTTTGTAGTTAAATGCCTAACCAGCTACTACTATATTTTAACTTTACCTTACCAAAAACATTTTTACAAAAACTACGTATAAAGCTTCAAACAGAATCAGTCTGTGCTAACTAGTTGGTTCCAATATTGCAACACTATTTAAATGCACATTATCCCAGTTAAGCAATATTAAGTAGGCCTAGAAAACTTTATGAAGAAAAATGAAGTTTTCTAGAACTGCTTAATCTTGCTTACATCTTAAATGCAAACTGAACTTAAATCTGGTGATTCAATTGCACATTCAGTTGTATACAAAACTTCAAGTATACCTGATCAAACTGTATGTTTCTATATATTCCTGAAACAGAAGTTAACAACTTGCATATATATAAAATTAACATATATGAAAATCTGCATACAACTGCATATGATGATTTCTAAACTCATTTATGAACAAAGTATTGTGTATATTTGGCAGTTTTAAGTCTGTAAAGAATCTCAGTCTTCCAAGTCATGGTTGTCCCAAAGGTGCTTTTTCAGGAGGCAACTGGACTTTCTTGTTTTTTCCTGTGAAGATGTTTTGCTTCTCATCCAAGAAGCTTCTTCACCTCTGACAGGATAATGGGGAATGGAAGGATTTCTATTCCTTGCAGACAGCTGGTAATCTGCATCCTTTAGAGCAGCGGTCACCAACCGGTGGGCCGCGAGAACATTTTGGTGGGCCGCAGAGAAATCTCACCCCCAGAGCACCCCCACAAAGCAATTAATCCAGGCTGCACAGAAACACAAGGCTGCACCGCCCACATGGCCCACGGGAACCCTCCCCGCCCACTCACTCCTTACCCGGTAAACTTGCCTGCTAAATTGCTATTTTTCCTTTTTCCGACCATCATCTGTTCTGCTCTGCCAGGAGATTTAGATTAGCTAGGAAGCAAGAAATGGTTGGATTTCTTGCTTTCTAGCTAATTTTTAGATCTTCGGCTCAGCACAGCCAAACCTGCTTGCAAGCAAATTCAGTGCAGACTCATGGCAAGCAAATTTGAGAGACTGAGCTAGCCGATGGCAGATAGATAGATCACTGAATGATTCTGTGAGTAACTAAATCTGCCTGCTTTGCCTGATTTTGGGTAAAAGTCGCTCTTTTTTAAAATAAAAAATTCAATATTTACATGCATGGTGTGTTGTGAGTTAATTTTGTGAGTTTGCTTGCTAACAAATTTTATGAGTTTGCTTGCAAGCAAATTTTATGTGACAGACTGAGCTAGCATATGACAGATAGATAGATCTCTGAATGAATCTGTGATTCTGTGAGCAACTCAATCTGCCTGCTTTGCCTGATTTTGGATAATAGTTGCTCTTTATTTATAAAAAAATTCAATATTTATATAAATATTTATAATATTTACATACAAGCCATGCCCAGCCAGTCACAGGACCACCAAGCCACACCCACAAATTAGGCCATGCCCACAGAACCAGTTAGTGGTCCCTGGGATCTAAAATTATTAGTTTGGTAGTTTGGTGGTCCCTGAGGTCCAAAAAGTTGGCGACCCCTGCTTTAGAGGGTAGTTGAAGTACTTGGAGGTTTATCTGTATCCTCAGGGTCACCTGAGTAGTGCTCCTGGTTCCTGTAGTCTGCAATTTTTTCCTCTGGAAATCCATTCCTATTCCCACACCATTCAAAGGTGTTCATCCCAAATTGTATAGCTAAAAGTCTGGAGCTGATAACCTAAGGCAGCTAATATATTGCTTCCTCCTCCTATTTTCCCCATAATGATAACTCACCTGAGAGGTGAGTTGGTTTGAAAGAGAGTGACTGGCCCAAAGTCACTAAATTAACTTTCATGCCTAGGGCAGAACTAGAACTCATAAACTCTTAGTTTCTAGGCTGGTGCCTTAATCACCAGGCCAAATAGGATATCTTGTATATTTAAAAGGATATCTGGAAAAGGGATCTGGAAATTATGGTCTAAGTAATGTAACTGTGGAAACAGAAGTAAGCATTATTTTTAAACTACTACCAAGAATCTGGAAGAGAAAACCTTTCACGAAGAACGATTATCATGGCTTCTGCAAATGTAAATTAAATTTTTAGAATTATTTGACAAAGAGTTAACTATAATGGCAATCTGGTTCATATACTAAAGACCTGTAGAAATGAAGAAAGTAGCACATTTAAAAACAACCAACTTTATTTGGCATACGTTTTTGTCAGCAGCAGCTATTCCTAATACAGTTGAATAGTCTTGAAAAAACTAACAGACTATGTCTATTTTGTTCCACAGTCTAACAAAGATTTCATCTACCCCATCTCCAGTATGGTAGATTGATATTCAATGTTTTCCAAATAGATTTTAATCAATTTGTTGAGACATCTTACACAATAACAATTTATGCAAGAACTAGAAAGGCAGAAAAAATTAGAAGGACATTATACAAATGGTTTAGAAAGCCATTTAAAACTAATTCTTTGAACTGGTTTAAAACATTATCTGAAATTAGGTATGATCTATGTTCATTGGTGATACAATTTTTTTTATATTGGGAAAAATAAAGACTTATATAGAACTCCAAAACAATCCTTATAAATTGGAGAAGAATAGAAAATGTTAAAATCCATTTTTAAACTGATATAATTTGAGAAAAGCATTTCATAGACAACCAAAAAACAACCTATACTCTGTACATGACAGCTCTGAAAAAGGTAAGAAAATTTACATTATATGAAACCTTTATAGTTAGTGATAGTGATGATGGAGAAATGAATGAGTGCTACTATGGCACAGGTGTCAAGCTTACCATGTCACATTGCTGTCACGTGACATTTTGCGATGTTTTCCCCTTCATGGAGCTGGGGTGGGCATGGCCTGTATGTGACACATCTGGCCCCCGGGACGCCATTTTGACATTCCTGTGCTATGAGCAAGTTGCAGTATTATGATGTCATCAGAAGGGAGCATAGGATTTTAAGCCATTCCTTCCAATCCATGTACACACACCTCTTTTGGCACGATGATGCACTAAAGAACATATTTCTTTGAAAAAAAAATCCTACTTATTTTTTAGAAATGAAGTTGTATACTTTATGTTTGTTAATCACTTTCTCACAGTGAATGCAATCCACTCCGCTGCTGATACTCTTCATAAAATTTCTGTAGGGAATCTGGGATTCTAGGAGTCACAACAACCAAAGCTTGTTGAAAATGCTCTTTCATTATATATTTGGCCTCAATATCTTCTTGAAGTGCAAGGAGAGCAGCTTCTCTACAAACTGCAGTTATCTGTAAAAGAAAAGCACCAATTACTTTTTAAAAAAAGAATTTTGTTGGAATAATTTGTTGAGAATTAAAGGCAAGAAAGTCACAAATGCAACAGACGGTCATTTTTTGGCCTTCTTTTGTCGAACATCAGTAGAAAGAGTTCAGCTGCAATAATATTCAACAAATGATTAGAACAACAATGCACTCTGCTGTCAGAGCTCCATATACCATAACTTTTATGTATCCAAAATAAACATATGTCAAGATACTCAGTAAAAAAGCTGATAATCCTAAATGTTCAAGAAATAAGTGAAAAACGAAGTTTGTAATAGTGATTTTCTTGTTTAAAATTTACCTGTGTATCACTCTCACACTCCAAAACAATATGAGAACAGATGGTTGGTTAAGAAATAAGAAATATAAATAATTAACTAAACAAAGAGACAAATAATTAAAATTCAAAGAAGAAAAAGTACAGAGAAAAGGCTGGAATCTTCAAGATGACTTTAGAAGTTCAGGAAGCAGCCTCTTGAAAACTTCCTTCCAAAGGTACATTACTACTGTGAAACGCATCGGTGGAATGAGTGATCATTATTTCAGTGTAGGAGAGAAAACAGTGATTGATACTGACTGCACTCTTATGGGCAGAAAAGAAAATGCCAGCTGAAATGCATTTGTGTCAGCCATTCAATGTTTGTTCCTTGTTTGTTCACTTGCTGAAAGGAGTTACACTGCTTACACCAGACTAATGGCTGCCAAAATCATTTAGCAGCTTTCTAGGGGATTTAGCAAGTGTTTCGTAAAGGCTTCTGAAAAGGGAAAAATTTGGATGTCTTTGTCACGTTACTACAATATTCTGTTAGTACAATATTATGTTAATAATTTCTGTTAGCTCTGATCAGTGCTCTGATGCTGTGCATTTGAATTCTTTACAGCCCACTGCAGATCACTGAGGGAAGGAAAGAGGAAAATTGTGCACAGCTACCTTATAGGTAACATTTTGTCAATTCAGGGAAGGGAATCATTTCCACCTTAATTCTTATTTTTTAAAAGAAATACAATTTCTTGAAAAAAAAATACTGGTTTTCTGGTACATTTTCCCAACAGCTGATTTATCATTTGGCACATTCTGCAACAGAACCCTCTCTCTCAGATATATAGCATAAAAACAACAATAGCAGCCTAATTCAAATTTTAAATGAAAATGAATCTTATTATTGAAAACAGTAATTAAATATAAATAAAATAGATCATTACAGATGCCAACTGAAATCAGATTTGTGAAGCTCTGCTAAAAATCCTATGGTAACTCCTCATTAGTTAACAATATCATTAAGATATGGCAGAAAGAACTTAAATGCACATTTCAAGACAACATTCTAAAAGAGTCACAAAGCAATGGGGTAGGAAGGAAGAATTAATATTTCAGTTTAAATTTATTTAGCCATATCCTGCTTGTAGGATATTAAATAATTATATTTAATTACATAAAATAATTATATTTAATTACATAATTAAAGAGTAAAATATTTTCCTACCCTGTTTCTCCAACAATATGGCCTCCCCCAATAGGAAGTCCCATCATGTTTTATAGGCATGAAATGAAATTAAGCCCCTCCCCCCAAATTAAGGCCTATAGTAAAATGTGCGAAATGGGGGGAATGGTGGGGGGACTTGCTGTTAGGAAGTACTTTTGTTGCACACACGGATATGGTGCTGCCTGCATTGACCCCAATACGAAGTGCCCCACCAATGCTGAGGTCAACATCCAAGCCATCGCTGCCCACCCGCCCGAAGATGCAAGGGGGAAAAAAAATTAAGTCACCCCCGAAAAGATGGCCTAGCCATTTTTTCGGGGCTCAAAAAAAAAATAAGACCCGGCCTTATTATATGAGAAACACGGTATATGCTCAAATCCCTAATCATATAAATCTAGGTCAATTGATAATACCTATATCACTATCACATTTGATTGCTGTAATCTGTCTTAAAAATGAACACAATCATTTGTAAATTGGGCGGATATAGGGAATTTTTAATGTTTTGTCATTGGAGTTGGGCAGCTAATAAATTCAAAGGTATTAGTAAATATATAATCACTGTGTATTATACATGGATTACCAGCTAGCGTATGGTTTGAGGTTATTTGACTGAACTATGTAATATCATGTATACATATTTTGCTCAATAACAGGAACTTGAAAACACATGACATAATCTGTATTCCTGAAAGAAAAGTATGCCCCTTGCTATAAAACTCTAATCCTTTTGGTGCAGTGTTGAACTCTGCCAATAAACTTATAAAGAAAAGCTTTTTTTTTTTCAAACAATACTTTGTAGAAAACAAAACAATATTTTTTACAAATGTATTTTAAATTACAAACTGAAAATTAAAGAAACAGCAATTTTATTTTGGATTCTCACATACATAATTTGTGGTTCTTCCTTCAACCATAGGTATTCAGAATATATGAAAGGATTTTTTGCCACAACACAATTATCATGAGTATATAACAAAGGGGTCAGAAACACCAATAAGGAGTTGTTCATTTATTTTACTTAATCCTAGGAGACTTCCTAGCAATTTTGACTTCTGACTGATTTTAACCACTCAGATTCTAAAATTAATATTTAGAGGCAGGATTCAGTTTCCCAGATGAAAACCTTCTCAAATATAGCTTATTTTATTGCATAAACCATAGGCTTATAGACCCAGGGCTAATTCTATAAATCAGATGAAGTGAATGGCCAATTCAAATGACCCTTTGTGATTTTCAGCAGTTAGTTTCTTCCAAAAAGCTGAGTCTCTTTCAGCTTTTGTGTATCTGAAGTACTAGGAAAAAAACTTTAAAGAACCTTGAGAAAGAGAAGGAAAGCAATGAGCTTCTGTGTTAAAATCTTAGGTATTTTTGTTTTAAGTAGCTTTGTTAATGCATCGTCTGCCAAGAACACCTGTTAGCCATTGAATTTAGTCCGGCTGCAGCTGGGGCTGAATGTGTGTACAGGGAACTGGCAGCCTGCTAGGCTGGTCTTAAATTGTGCTTCCTTTTTCCATGCTTTTCTTTCAAAGTTATCCCCTCCTCCCCGTAGATGGTTACAAGAGACTATGTGAGAAAGAGATTAGGGACCTGGAGCAGATTGGCATCCTGTGGTGGATAGTGAATAGTGCAAACGTGGAGCTTTCCTGGATGACAACTACCTGCAAGCCTAGGGCTAGCCTGTGGTATGCACCCTCCTAGGCACTTCTTAAAGCAGGATTAGGGAGTGGAAACTCCAACTTTCCCACTCAGCATGCAGGACTTTGAAAAGCTTCCAAAATGGAGCCCTATTAAAAAGAAAAAAAGGAAACCCCAAGAGTCAAATCTTTTAAAAAGCATTTACTCCTTTTCCCTAACTTTCTGATGTGCAACTCCTACTAAACCAGTCCCATGGGCCAGCTTAAATCATAAATAAGGCCAACTCACAAAGACCAAAAGGCATACTTGCATCAAAATATGAAGGCCACCAAGGAACAGTAACTGTAATTTATATCTCATTCACTATCTATGAAAACCTAAATAATTACAGAAAAAGATCAACTCTAATTTCTATTTTATTATATTTTTCTATTTATAAATGCTATGCTTATTTAAATCTTGAATAGATTCTACTAATCTTAGACTGACTTACAAATTAGCTTTTTCTTCTCTTAGGAGTGAGGATATAAATAAAAACTATAGCAAGTTAACACTTTCAAAGCACAGCAAAAGCATAACTGAGACTCAATAGCCAATTCTTTTTTTGGAGTAATACACCTATCTTCAAAAAGAAATAAATATGTATATAAATATGAAAGAAAAAATATGGAGAGGGAAGAGAAATAAATTTATGTCATCCTTCTTGAGTATTTTTTCCCCTTATTCTGCGAAGAATTAATTTAGGAACTGTCCTATTAAGAAAAGAGTTCATTTATCAAAACATGAATTCTTCTAAAATTATGTGTAAAATATCTGGGAAGAAAAGTTTATACATAGTATCATTTATAAATAAGATCTTATACATAACTATCATTATTAATGCTGAAAACAAACAATATTTACTAGAACAATGTATCTTTCTATCTGCAGTGAACACTGAAAACTGCCCAGAACCATTTGGAAGTGAATGGCTTATATATTACCATTTTTTAAAAAGTCACTATATGAGGGAGAATGTGGTTCCTTTCCCCCCACTATTGACTATCCTGCTTACTTTTACAGATATTAGTTGGTTAGTACCTAGCCTCTGTAAGGAGATACGCCTTATGCGCCTGGGAGCCTAATAAGACTGGAAGGCCATTCTCTATCCATTCACATTTCAAATGTGGGACTCGTATCCACCCAAGGAATTCTGGGCAGTCAACATAAATAAAACAATTTATGAAAATCCAATTTTAAAATGTGGGGTGGAGGCCCCTAAAAATCAATTTAGCTCCATTAACATCCAAACCCATAGTCTCCCCAAAGGCTAATATTTGTTTATTTGTTAAATTTGTTTGCCACCCATCTTGTAACAAGGATTGAGTCAGGGAGGAGGCTGCTCCATATTACACAGATGGCACACCTCCTGGGTTCCATAAGATGACACTGCTTTGTTGGTAGGACCAAGAATATGTGCACCCTGCCAAATCTAGCAGATTGGCAGAACTATGGTATAAGCACTTTCACAAGTAAGTGGGACTCGTGGCATCTTGAACTGCCCACTGCAAGCCAACTCACATAGCACTAGTGTGACATGGGTTTTTGTTGTGAGTCCAATATTCTGTGTGTGTCACTGTATTTTAAAACAGCTAGAGTTTCCAATTGATGTTCAAGGACAACATCATTGCAACAGGCCAGCTGGATGGTGATTAAGGCATAAGTTTATTTATTTATTATTTATTTATTTATTTGATTTGTCAATTGTTTACAAGATAATAAGTATAAGTGTATACATAGTTGTGAATACATGAGATGGGTACATATAAGAAAAATAAAAGAATAGAGAAACAATAGGACAGGGAC